AATCAAATGTTGGATTTGCTTTAATTTTAGGTTAATTGTTGGTAGTATTTGTTTGTGTTTGTGGTTGTTGTTGTTGGCTTGGCTGCTGTTGCTGTTGCTGTTGTTTGTTAAAATGTAATTAATGTTGGTGTGATTGTTGTTGTTGTTGCTGATCATTGCTATTAATTGTATTATTATCTACGTTCATGTCATTTGTGTTGCTAGTAGTACCTATAGGTAAGGTGATGAAGGTAAGTTCAGATGCTAGAGGGTTATAAGATCTGATTGATTGTTGAAGTTTTTGGATGAATGTTAGAGAGAAACCTAATTGTTGAATAGGTTGTTGGATTTCTGTACAGGTTTTATGGTAAGGTTTGTTATTATGTAAAATAGTGTCAGATGCCAAGTAATGTTGGTTGTTCATTTCTTTGCAGGCGATAGGTAAGTTACATTTGGCACAGAGATGGTTGTGTGTAGTAGGTGAAGAAGATGCTGTAGGTGATGGTAGAACAAATTCAGTAGAGTTTGCAATGTTATTTGCAAGAATTTTTTTATCTCTAGATTTTTTAATAATGGTGGTCATTTTATGTTGTTTGTAGGTTTGGTTGGTTGTTGATATAAAATGTGTATGGTACTTGCCACAGAAGCAAGTAATAATGGTGCTAGATTCTGGTGCTTTGAAGTAGTAACTACTTTTAATACTACCTCTAAGTTCAGTATGAATATAATTATTTGGTTGTTTGTTTGCAGAAATAGGACGTGATGTATGTGCTGCATCTTTATAGATACCAATTCTGAAGCTTTTAGGACACTTCTGGTAAAAATATCAAGGTCAATGGTATCTGATATGATTGTAGACAAGGTTAGCATTTTTTTCTAAAAATAGATTTCTAAGTATGTTTTTCGAAAAAATCAGTTTAATTTAAAGGTTTCCAGACTAATTAGGAAAGTTTGGAAAAAAGTTTGAGCTTCAGGTAAGCTAATTGGGTGTTTAGGAAATTCTAATGAGTACCAGAAAGTGAAATTTCTGAGGCACCCTAGCAAATTTTTCTAAAATTGCCAATAGAAAAACCTGCAAAGGACAAGTTATTGTTTTTGCTTTTCGCTTGTATCTCTATGAGTTTTGGTCTGTTTTGGACAAATAATATATCAAAATGTCTGGCTCAGTGAGCTGAACAACCTTTGAATAGGCAGTATGATAAATTTAATTAGTAAAATATTGAGTAAATAGACAAATACCAAAAATATAGTTTTTGAAACTTTTTCCAGCACCCAAGTGTTATTAGGACTTAAGACACAGCCACCTAGGAGTAGAAAATTGTGCTGGACAACTTTATATAAGAGGTCAAGTAAGGTTTACTTAGTAAAATGTTGAGAAATAATTAAATGTTATTTTGTGTTTTTTGGTATAAGTAATCTACGGAAAGAGTTGCTCACGAAAGTCTTATGATAGTTCATTATATTGCATATATATACATAGTTCTAATTTAATAAAAACGAGTTCAAATGTGATATATAAAGTTTTACTATTTGAGTTTGGTACAATCAGTTTAAATTATTATAAAAAAATCTGTTCTGCCCAATCTGGTTTGCTAAATCTCAATTTCAGTATAGGCAGATTCGGTATATCCAGAATTGACTATACATGGCTATGCTAACTTTATTTATCAGTACACAAAAACTTTTGCATTTTCCAATTGTTAAATTAATCTTGTATTTGCCTGTTATGCAACTGCATTAAAATTAGAGTATTATTTTATTGAGTTTATATATAGTATTACTATGTATGTACAAAATAAAATGTTTTATTATCCAAATATAGTAAAAAATGAAGTCTCAATTGCAAATCATTCACTTAATATGTAGCATCGCAGACAAAGATGTAATAATAAATTTGGGTCAAAATTCCAACAAAATTAAACCAGAACCATAGATAATATTACTTAATGTGACTGTTAAAATTATTTTGTTAGAGTTTTGACCCAAATTCAGTAATGATAACCTGTATCCTTGTTCAAATCCTTTATATTACATATTATTATTGTCATTATGGCTCTTATGATTCTGCATTATTATATAACCAGTATTTGATACAATTAGCAAAAGCTTAGTATAAAATACCTGATAAAGCCAAATATCTAAAATTGCTATATAAATGCATGCATATATACATGCTAAGATCTTTAGTCTTATTTGAAATAAAGTTTAAGAACTAGTAAAGATATAAAAAAAATATCAAATCCTCATAAATAATATCGTATAAATGCGAAATAACTCTTAGGCATTATTTTAAACTTAGGTCTTTCAAAAATAGCTTATACATGAGAATTCCAAATTAATGTATATCCTAATGTAGCATATAATTTATCATGATATACAATTGACCCTCCATAAGTGCAGCTACAAAATAATGTGCAAGCAGGCATTATTTCATATTCATACAGTAATGGTTAAATTAAAAGGACCATGTGATTACTCAGGTTCAAAAAAGGAAGAATAATAACCCATAGTTAATTAGAATTCATGCATTTAAAATAAGAAAATAAGGAAAACTAATTAGTATCAAGCCTTCAAAAGACTATTCATATAAACTTGAAAGAATCTTAAATGTACTCACATTAAAATGTATTGTTTAATAAATTCACGTAGCCACATGTTACTATCGAAAAAAAAAATTAAAATATATTAATAATATTGCATAATTTTTTTAAAGAATGGCAATATATTAGCTAATAAAAACTTCTGAATCTTAAATAAATATTAAAAATTGAAAATTTGATAAATAAATCTATTTTACAAACTAGCAAAAGCAAAAGTTAAAAAATAAATAAAAATAAATAAAAAAAATAAAGAATGCAAAGATTTTTAAGTACTTCTAAGTATGATAAAAAATATATTTTTAAGAATCCTTCAAACTTATATGAAAATTTTTGCAATGCATATGTTTATCATATGGCGATTTCAATAAATAACCCTTCTTCTAAAAAACAAGATGTTTTTATAAAAGTGCAAAATGAATAAAAAACTGTAAAAAGTTTAGATAAAGGCATTATTGAATGTAAAATAGATGGTTACCTAAAAGCCCCTCTTTAACCTATTCAATATGCATCTTTTCTATCTACACTATCTTCAACAAATTAATCTATAACTGCAAATGAAGCTAGTTCCTTATCTGTATCGATGATAGAATTAGAAGAACTGCTTTCAAATGCAACAGCTCAAAGAAGTTTGTTAAAAAAGCAAAATATTGCTAAAGATCAGCTTGATGAACTAAATTCATTACTTAATATTACATATAATCCTGAAAGAAGGTATAATTTCTTGGTTCAAATTACTGAAACAAAAAGAGAAATTAAAGCTAAGAAAAAAGAAAGACAAAGATTACAGAAACATGCTGCTATTCAAGCCAAAAGTTAAGAAAAAAAATGAAGAGCTTTGGAAGAAAAAGAAGAAGTTGTTAGGTATGACACACCCAGATGACTATCTTTTCTTCTTTTGAATCATGAACTTCCTGAACAGTTACATTCGTGTATTGAATTCGGTAGTGCTACTAAAAAAAGATAAAAGAAAGTTATTAAAGTATGCACAATTTCTCACTTAAAAAAAGAAATAGAAGGAAGATATTAGGTCTATATGTCACATATCTGTTTAAATACATATATGTGGCCCAGGCAAATTGATTCATTACAATCTAAAAGACATCACTACTCTATGTCAATTCAAGTAAACTCTGTGTTAAGAAATGAAATGCCAAAACATATTGATGAATATTATTGTTTGCATATAGTTAAAGGTGCCAAACAGTTTGCATATTCTTTTGCTTCTCATTCTGTAATTATATTACAGGATGATAAAGCAAAAGTTCCCCTAGATATCTCAGCTGTTGGTAGAACATTCAAGACTTTACAAACTGTCCAAGAACCAGTAACTATACCCGATCATAACTTTTCAAAAGGAAAAAAACAAAAATTAATTCCTTCAGTTTACCTTACAATTGATATAAACAATTCTGATAATTCATTACATAATGGTTAACTATTAATTTTTATCTACCCATAGTGGTCTCTTAATACATTATTCTTAACCCACATGGCTAACCTATTATTTATAATAAAAAATCCTGTTCTAAATGAAGCATTAAAGTGTAAAGATGAGGTTAAGCCAATTCTGGTCTTGTTAGTAGATGGTAGTCTCAACAAAAACCTCAGACATCTAAAAAACATAAAAGAATACTGTAAATTATTTTTGAAACTAAATTTAGATTATTTTATCATCCAGACTCATATCTCAGGACAGTCCATCTACAATCCAGTAGAATGTAATATGTCAACCCTTTCAGGGAAGTTGGCAGGTATTGTTTTGCCTATTAACCATTTTGGCTCTCATCTTAATTCTAGTGATGATGTTATAGATAGTAAGTTGGCAAATCAAAACTTTAATTATGCTGGTGAAAGATTGTGTGATATTTGGCAACAGGACTATATTTATGAAAAAGAAGTGTTAGTTGAATATGTTAATCAAGAAGCTAACATTTTTAGTGAAGTTTCAAGTATATCTTGGAGCTGGATAGAAAATCATTGTCAAATATATCGTTACTCTTTGGATATTAGAAAATGCAAAGACCTTATGTGTTGTTCTGTGTGAAGAGCTGAAGAAGCATATGTCTTGTTAGATGAAAATGATGGATTTTTACCATCAGCTACCAAAGGTCAGGATGGCCATTTTCTTAACCTTATACATATACTCTAATTAGAGTTCAGAGCACAGAGGCATGGGGCATGCCTCAAGTCCAAAGGGCATGCCCTTGTCATGTGATGCTTAAAGTTATTTTAATTGGCTAATAAGTTCAGATAAACTAGAACTGTAAATACTAAATCAACATATAAGATTATTAAACTATATGTTAATTATATAATTTAAAAAGGGCATGCCCATGGGCATGAGAGGCATGCCTTAGCTCAGAGGCATGCCCATATAGGCATGCCTAATTTTTTTCCCATGCTCTGAACCCTAACTTCAATATATGGAGCAAACAAAACTTCCAGGCTATGATCAACATTGCCTTCTATTTTCTCTAAATTATACTCATGATTAGTTTGTTTTATCTGTAATTAATACTTTCTTACTCTATTCAGCATAAAAAATTGAAACATTCTTTTTCCCAGTGCAAAAAATCCAAACTTCAGGTAGCAACTATGGAGTGACTTTCTAATTTTGCTCCAAGTAAAAAAATGATGTTAGATGTTTTTATTCCAAGCTTTTTTTCTGATATCGAATAATAAATAAATTGAGCATAAAAGAAATATTTAAAAAAAATAAAGGTGATAAAGGATAAAATTATACTTTAATTCTCTGCATTCAAAACTTAAATGGCAAAATACTGAAATTTTTACTGATTTTTACAAAAATAAAAGTTAAAAGCTTAGAGAGATTATTTCTATATTAAAGCAATATGTTTCACAAAAAATCTAATATTATTTTGACTAAGCCACAACTTACTATTACTGTTTTTTATATTCTTACAAAGTAAAAAGCAGCTTTATACATAGAAGGATTAAGATTTGAAAGTATGTCTTGTATTTGCTTTTATTGCTTATTTACGTATGCATGCCAGAATAAATTACTCAAGTTGAATCGAAATATTAATAGCTAAGTTAATTCTGAATTCACTGCTCTATTTAACTATATATTCAAGTATGCACATCATACAAAGCTATTTATGCATTTAGTCTAGCCATATATTCTACAAGTGCACATATATTGCAAAGCTATTTATGCAATATCTAGTCATATATTCTATATATGTACAAGTGCAATTATATATTACTTACTTTGAAATTAATTTTAATATATATATATACAATATATATTTAGTTAGATATATATATATATATATATATATATATTATATAAAAATATATATATACTATATAGACCTGATATTTTAGTTAATTCACCCATCTACTAAAAAATTAGCTGATTTCTGTCAGATCTCTAATAGCAGAAGATGGAATAGATCAAGAAGAAGTCATATTACTATTAATATAGTGGCTTTTCTATGATCCATTGTTAGAGAGAGTACAAGAAGATAAAAGTCTAAGATATACAGTTAAACAACAAATTAAAAAAGAAATGCAATATAATAATGTTACAAAATTTCATCAAGCAGCAATTGCATATGCAGATGACACAACATGGATTGCAAACAGCAAAGGCCAGCTACTAAAGATTTTAGAAATAGCTAAGAAGTTTTTCAAGATAAATGACATTTTACTATCTTCTTCAGAAATCCTTCTAGTACAAAACACAATATCTGATTCCATATACCAAAACCAGCTCATAAACCTTCACAAAAAATTACTATCTCTCAAACCAACTAATATACATTTTTATACAGATGCTTCTATACTTAATTCACAAATACACAACACCTCTACTGGCATAGCCTGGATTCTGGAAAATAATATACAAATTAAATTTAATGCTTCTATAAACCTTGCACCAAACTCAACACGAGCTAAACTAGCAGCACTTATTTCTTTATTTCTTATCTTACCTCTTAACTATTCTATTCACATTCATTTAGACAGCCTATCTATTATACAAACTTTTACTAATTCAATACTTTATAACTACAACTCTCAAACCAAACAAAACAACTGGGATATTATCCACATTCTAAACTACCTAACCAAACTCAAAA